TGTTCTTCCATGCTGTAACCTGTATCAATACCTCACTTTACATGGTGGCTGAAGAACATTTTCATTTTGTGAATATTCTATATTTTGTTTGTTCTTATCTATGATGGTACATTTGGGTTGTTGATACTTCTTGCCTGTTGGCACCCAAGCCCTTTAAAATGTCCCTTAGGAGACATGATAAAAACTTTGACGTATTTTAGGGCATGTCAGAAGAAGCAGAGTTACTCCTCCAGAGTTTGCAGTCTATTAGATAAGTATTGAAATCTGAGGTGTGATGAGTAAAACATGAATTTTTATTTTCCCTTAAATGTTACAAGTGAAAAGCAGTTTTAAGTTGGTAATGTCTAAGAATTATTTTAATAGTTTTGGTCTTCTTTGTAGGCCCTTCATTATATGTTGTTGGTATCTGAAGTAGAAGAAACTGAAATCTTTAAAATTTGTCTTGAATACTGGAATCATTTGGCTGCCGAACTCTATAGAGAGAGTCCATTCTCTACATCTGCCTCTCCATTGCTATCTGGAAGTCAACATTTTGATGTTCCTCCCAGGAGACAGCTATATTTGCCCATGTTATTCAAGGTAACAGAGTGGTTGGTTGAGTGCTGTTGTTGCTTACTGTGGTTTTGAGGTCTGAATGCAAATACTTCTAATCTATCTAAATAAGTGAGCTACAAAAAGAGAACCCAACAACTTCTCCATGAGTGTGGGGGAAAAAAAACTAGAACATGAAAGGAGTTCAGTCTAGAACCTCCTTGGTTCTCAAGAGTGTGGTCCTTCTGTCAGCATCAATATCACCTGTGATTTTGTTAGGCAAATTCGTTGGTCACCTGCCAATCCACTGAACCAGAGTCCGGGAATGAGAAATAGCTCCTGTAACAAAAGTTGTTTTTTTAAAAACAAATTCACATTAAAATACACTTAAATAACTGTAAAGCCATTTTTTAAATTACACTGAAAAAAAATTTTTTTTTTTTTTTTTGACACAGGGTTGTGCTCTGTGGCTCAGGTTGGAGTGCAGTGGCACAGTCATAGCTCACTACAATCTTACACTCCTAGGCTGGAGCAATTCTCTGTGTCAGCCTTCCAAGTAACTATGGTTGCAGGCACACACCACCATGCCCAGCTAATTTTAAATTTTTGGTTTTTCTTTCTTTCTTTTTTTTTTGTTTTTTTAAAAGACTGGGTTTCACCGTGTTGGTCATGCTGGTCTTGAACTCCCGACCTCAGGTGATCCGCCTGCCTTGGCCTCCAGAGTGCTTGAATTACAGGCATGAGCCACCACACCGGCCTGGTTTTTCTTTATATACTTTTTCCTATTGTGCTTTAATTTTAGTATTTTTATTGTTTTAGAGGTTGGGTGTCACTGTTGCTCAGGCTGGTCTCAAATTCCTGGCCACAAGCAATTCTATATGCTTCAGCCTCCGGACTTACTGAGATCATAGGCATGAATCTCTACACATGGCTGTTCTGTGTTTTTTTGGTTTTGTTTTGTTTGTTTTTAACTAAGCTTCTACATTAAATGATTTCAATGGTCTAACAATTTTTTCTTGATTTAATGTTGAGTATAGGTCCGTTTATTAATGGTTAGTCGAATGGCTAAACCAGAGGAAGTATTGGTTGTAGAGAATGATCAAGGAGAAGTTGTAAGAGAATTCATGAAGGATACAGATTCCATAAATTTGTATAAGAATATGAGAGAAACATTAGGTAAGTTAATGAATACTATTAATCTTTACCTTTATAAATCTATTCTGGGGTGGAACTCCATTTTAGGAAATGTGTTGCATGTAGTTTCTAAATCTTTTCTAAACATACTGTTATTCATCAATAAAACTTTTTGCTCATGCTTTGCATTTGAAACAATTTTTTTCTTTGTAGTTTATCTTACTCATCTAGATTATGTAGATACAGAAAGAATAATGACAGAGAAGCTTCACAATCAAGTGAATGGTACGGAGTGGTCATGGAAAAATTTGAATACATTGTGTTGGGCAATAGGCTCCATTAGTGGAGCAATGCATGAAGAGGATGAAAAACGATTTCTTGTTACAGTTATAAAGGTATGCAAGGGCTAGATATGAATTAGAATTGCTAAATAAGTATATATTGTTACAGTAAATGATAAAAATATGTCTTATTTACAGGATCTATTAGGATTATGTGAACAGAAAAGAGGCAAAGATAATAAAGCTATTATTGCATCAAATATCATGTACATAGTAGGTCAATATCCACGATTTTTGAGAGCTCACTGGAAATTTTTGAAGACTGTAGTTAACAAGCTGTTTGAATTCATGCATGGTAAATCTGTTTCTTTACTATATTATTGTATTTTGTTTTTAATTTTATTGAACAACTAAATGAATGTTTTTGTCTTGTTAGAGACCCATGATGGAGTCCAGGACATGGCTTGTGATACTTTCATTAAAATAGCCCAAAAGTGCCGCAGGCATTTTGTTCAGGTTCAGGTTGGGGAAGTGATGCCATTTATTGATGAGATTTTGAACAACATTAACACTATTATTTGTGATCTTCAGCCTCAACAGGTATGTTAAGTACTGAGCGTGTATTATTTTTAGAAAGTAATATCCATATTAAACTGTATTTATCAATGGAAATAGGAGGGCAACTATTAGATCGAGTAGAAGTGTTTCTGATTAAATTTTCTTTTTCTTTTCCTTTTCCTTTTCCTTTTTTTTTTTTTTTTGGTCCCTTAAAAAGGAGTCTTACTCTATTACCCAGGCTTGAGTGCAGTGGCATGATTACAGCTCACTGCAGCCTTGAACTCGTAGGCTCAGGTGATCCTCCCACCTCAGCCTCATGGGTAGCTGGGACTAAGGCATGTGCTGCCATTATGCCCAGCTAACCATTTTTTAATTATCTTGGTAGAGATGGAGCTTGCCAAGTTGCCCAGGCTGGTCTTGAACTCTAGCTTCAAGTGGTAAACATTTGCCTCAGCCTCCCAAAATGATTACATGTATGAGCCACCACGCCCGGCCTGGTTAAATTTTCATAGTGAGACAGATTGTTTCTTTACCAGATGTTTGTTAGGCTGTTGCCCTATGTAAAATTATTCCTAACAAACAAAATTCAGATTTTTCACATTTTGAGCTTTTTTTTTTTGTGACAGAGTCTCGCTCTGTCGCCCAGGCTGGAGTGCAGTGGTGCAATCTCGGCTCACTGCAGCCTCCACTTCCCGGGTTCATGCAGTTTTCCTCAGCCTCCTGAGTAGCTGGGACTACAGGTGAGCACCACCATGCCTGGCTAATTTTTGTATTTTTAATAGAGATGGGGTTTCACCATATTGGCCAGGCTGGTCTTGAACTCCTGACCTTGTGATCCACCCACCTTGGCCTCCCAAAGTGCTGGGATCACAGGTGTGAGCCACTGCACCTGGCCCCACATTTTGGGCTTTTTAATAGTTTTTGGGTTTTTTTTTTTTTTTTTTTTTTTTTTTTTTTTTTTTTTTTTTTTTTTTTTTTTTTTTTTTTTTTTTTTTTTAACATGGAGTTTTCTTCTGTCACCCAAGATCGCAGAGGTGTGATCTTGGCTCACTGCAACCTCTGCCTCCTGGGTTCAAGCATTTCAAGCCTCCCAAGTAACTGGAATTATAGGCACTTGCCACCACATCTGGCTAATTTCTTTGTATTTGTAGTAGAGATGGGGTTTTACCATGTTGGTCAGGCTGGTCTACAACTCCTGACCTCAGGTGATTTGCCAGCCTGGGCTTCTCAAAGTACTGGGATCATAGGGGTAGTCCACCCTACCTGGGCCAAAATCAGTTTCAATACATTTGTGAATTGCTTGAGTGTGCTTTTTTTTTTTTTTTTTATTAGGGTTTATAAGAATATACAAGTTTAAATGTCTGCTTTTTAAAATAGGTTCATACGTTTTATGAAGCTGTGGGGTACATGATTGGTGCACAAACAGATCAAACAGTACAAGAACACTTAATAGAAAAATACATGCTACTCCCTAATCAAGTCTGGGATAGTATAATCCAGCAGGCAACCAAAGTAAGTATTTCTACTTTTTCTTAAAGTTTTTATGGGATTGAGGAAGTCTGTGGGGTTTTGTTTTTGTTTTTGTTTTTCTGAGACGGGGTTTCACTCTTGTTGCTCAGGCTGGAGTGCAGTGGTGAGATCTTGGCTCTCCACAACCTCCGCCTCCCGGGTTCAACCAGTTCTCCTGCTTCAGCAGGAGAATTCCCCTGCACCCAGCAAAGACTGTGTTCTTTACAAATGTATTGAATTCAGACCTTGTAACATGTATGTCTGATCCATAAGTACTTTTATCTGTGGCTTTCTTTGCACATTTAAAAAACTATCTTGGCCTGGTGCAGTGGCTCTGGCCTATATTCCTAGCACTTTGGGAGGCCAAGGGGGTGGATCACCTGAGGTCAGAAGTTCAAGATCAGCCTGCCCAACAAGGCGAAACCCTGTCTTTACTAGAAATAGAACAAATTATCTGGGTGTGGTGGCCCATGCCTGTAATCCCAGCTACTTGGGAGGTTGAGGCAGGAGAATTGCTTGAACCTGGGAGGTGGAGGTTGCAGTGAGCCGACGAGATCAAGCCACTGCACCCCAGCCTGGCCAACAGACAGGACTTTGTCTCCAACAACAACAACAACAACAACAACAAAATGCTGGGCGCAGTGGGTTATGCCTGTAATCCCAGCGCTTACGGAGGCTGAGGCGGGTGGATCATGAGGTCAGGAGTTAAAGACCAGCCTGGCCAAGATGATGAAACCCTGTCTCTACCAAAAATATTAAAAAATTAGCTGGGAGTGGTGGCACACACCTGTAATCCCAGCTACTTGGAAGGCGGAGGTGGAGAATTGCACAAACCTAGGAGGCGAAGTTTGCAGTGAGC